ATAATTCAGCAACTTGTTGATCAAATAAACCCGGAAGAAGAATTGGAGATAAAAGGGATATGAGTAATGTTATGCAACCAAGACCAAGAAATAGAAGAGATGTTTGAAAGGACCATGAAGAAGAGCAAAGCCCAGCAAATCCACAACGATATGCACCTGTACCTTCAGGACCTGGACTGTCCTGTTAGGTTCAACCCCGTGTTATCTGTTGAAGTTGCTGATGCAACCTGGAATGAAAAACTAGTTCAGGCGTGCATGCTGTTAAAAACTTAAACCCTCGGGCCCAGTCTAATGCTCATGTTCTGGAAACATACTATAAAGTTGGTAGCCTATTGTTTGAGTCTGGTTGGGGCGACAAAGCAAGGAAAAAGTTGGCTCAGCAACTCCCAGGTTCCAAGAGAAGCCTTGTCTGAAAGATTGCTACATGTACGTACCTGTTATTCAGTACCCGTGGCAAATATAGTATGTATATAGTTTAACATATTTCAATTTTAGTGCTGAAACGAATGTTGGACTCTGACTTTACAGAATTGTTAGCAGAAGCAAGGAGGTTAAGAGAGGTTGATACTAAGAGGATGTTGGCAGATTCGATGGAGCTCACCCTTTAGAGGAGGAATATGTTATAGAAAATTTCTTCAAAATTTTCCTTACTGTATTTTTTTTTGTGGTATAGTTTGTCTTCCCTATATGTAAAAGCAGTAGATTATGTGAATGCGATAGAATTTGCACATGTATGGGTTCGAAACCTGAGGTTAGCGTTTGAAACCCTGGGTCCAGGTGTAGAACCCCAGATCTGCGTCTGAAACCCCTGATCTGGGTTCGAAACCCCAGATCCAGGTTTGGAACCCTCAACCATCAAAATATATAAATAGAATGCTTGCTTAATAAATAAAGTAACTCTTTCTTACTCTGCTCAAGTAATAATTACAGTGAATACGTGACCAGTTCTTCTTATTTTTGTACCCAATAATAAATGATACGCACTGATCTTGTCTATTAAGTAACACATAGTAACTGACCGGAACCTAACTCGAACCTAAACGTAATCTACGGTGACCTAACTCGAACCTAAACGTAACCTGCGGTGACCTAACTCGAACCTAAACATAACCTGTGGTAACCTAACTTGGACTTAAGCATAACCCGTAACGCCTCTTCTGAATATAGTCCTATTAATTGATAATTATTACTATATACGAATCCGGGTTGTACTACTCACCATCAGGATTTATGCTTACGGTGCTGGACTAAATTGGCTTGGATATATAAAAGCTCTTCCTAGTCGTAACAGTATACACTATAAAATAAAGCGTACATAAATCCAATAGAATGAAATAAGCTACACACGTATGTACAGTATGTACGTACATATCAAATTTTGCCGAATACCAAAATAAACTATTAATTTCTGCCGAATAACAAAATAAACTATCAATTTCTGGAAAATAACCAAAATAAACTATCAATTTTTGCCAAATAACCAAAATAAACTTTTTTTTGCCAGAATAACTCGAGTTATTTTGGCAGTCCGATCATAGTAATTAGATGGATAAAAAATTTTATAGTTAAGGCCACGCAAAGTTAATTTTTCGTTTTGCATTATCCGCCGACCCAAATTTTTCAAAATCCCTATTTTTTTTTTTTTTTTTTTTTTGAGTTTCAATTATGCTAATTATTCCATTTTTGCTGTTTATTTTTTTCATCTTTTTTATCCGGTTTTCACCGACGGTGACCTTAATCTTCCGGAATTATCCGATAGGACACCAAGCGAAAACTATACTTCGGGCCTTTAACTTTATAAATTTACTGAACTAAAACATGTCTGCAACAAATAAAATCGTAAGCCCAAAGTCTGGTCTTCTTTTGGTGACGTTCAAATTAAAAAAAAAAATTGTAAAAAAAAAAAAAAAAAATCTGACCGACCAACCCAATTTTTCAGATCCCATGTAATGCAAAACGAAAAATTAACTTTGCGTGGCCTAAAGTATTTTTTTTTTAATAATGATGTATGAACAGATTCGTATTTTACTGAGTATGAAAGGTCATCTATTATTTTACAACATTAAAGCATTTTACATAGCCTAAAATAAAAATTAGGTACGTAGTTGCGCTGCACAACATAATTGTGCTTAAACCAAGAACGTAGTATGATCGCAAGAACATATTAAGGACCCAAGTGTAGTGATAATCTTTCTAATATTTGTAAAAATATTATCCAATTATCAATTATCTTATGCAACCTATTTCAAGGTATCGTTTATCTTATCAATTAATTAACCTTTTGGTATATGTATGAACGAAATCATATAATTGAATAAAATTTAAATTATTACTACATATTCTATGTATGAAATATGCATTACCCATGGGAGATTCTTTGAGTGGGTAGCTTAAAAAAGAATACGTATCACTTTACCAACACTCATTTCGTAAACATAACATTTCAACGACAAACATTCACCAACAGTTCATTTCAACAAAGCTCATTTCATAGACAAATTGTTTTTTATAAATTCCATTAACCTTAACTTCATTCTAACCTGATTCTAACGACAATAACTAGAATCATTTTGTCAGTGAACTAAGTTTTAGTGAAATAAACTGTCTGTGAATTGAAAATAAATGTCGGTGAAATGTTGTTGGTGAAATATTATTTCTATGAACTAAGTGTTGGTGAAGTGAGCTAAACCGAAAAACTGTGGATTTCTCATCTCGCATAGGATACCCATGTTACTACTACAAATTAAAATTTTCTGTGCCCCAACCTTATGAAGGACCTGCGTGCTTATTATTTCTTATTGTTGTGCTTATTATTAGCTTATCCTTATTACTTATTAATCTTATTGCATATAGTTATTATAGTTATTATTATTACTTTTCTTATTATCTCTGTATTCATATTATTATTATTCTATATTTAGTTAGTCCACTTGATGATTATTGTTGTAAGATCGTTGTACCCCGGGAAATATTTAAGTATAGATCCACGCTATTTCTTTTTTAGTCGCTAATAGATTAATTACTGGTATTTCCTTATTAAGAAGACTATCGATTACTATAATGGTTAATCCAGACATTGGACGTATTGCAAGATGGGTTAGACAAAGTATTGGAACAATCCTTGATCTCAACATGACGCGTATTTGTTGTGGGCGTCAAGATCTTAATTTTACTGTTGCTTTAATGAACTCATTGAAGTAAAGCGTAGTCATTATTTACATTAGGCGTTTAGTATCATTGAGAGGTAGGGGAATCGGCGTTGAAAAGGATAAATCCATGGAGGAAGAAAATGCCAACGGTAACCTAGAGTAAATAGTCTGTACAATTTTAACATTTAAAGAACCGTTAGTTCCATGAATAAAGTTTTCTCAGACTTCGATCTTACTGATATTGTTAATAAACGGTTTTATATTGAATCTACCTTTCTGTTATTGTTGAATCATCGTGAATACATCTTCACGATCTTGTTATCATCCCGATAACCCTATTGTTAAGACAGCTTAATGATCTTATTTATTTAATTATCTATTCCTTTATTATATCATATAATTATTACAATTACAATTGCTCACCTATTGTTGTACCTTTCACGTCCTATCTTATCATTATACCATATCCGATATTCCTTTAGTTCACTATCACTGTACTAAACTCGCCCTTGCTGACGCTCTCCTAACTTTCGATAGTAACATTTGGTGCCAGTTGTGTGGACAAATCTGCCTGTCAGTTTTCAGGACCGCATGAATAATTTTGAACAACATACTAGAAATACTGAAGAACACGATCAGCAACATTATCTATTTAGAAAAACTCCCCAGGCCATCAATTACTTGATCCAATATTATCATGATGACTCTTGTCCCGTTTGTTATCCACCCCAACTTTTATCTCCACAATTCCAAAGGTTTTGGCTTTGGTTCGACACTTTTTAACTGGCTTCTTCCTTTTTTCTCATCATGCTATCCGTCAGTTTGAGAAACTTTCTAATTTTGAGATTAGCAATATCCTTGATCGATTATTATGAGCCTTCATCTTTAGCTTTCAATATGAATAACGACCTGACGATTATCCCACCCTCTTAAATGAATTTTTAGTTGCTTATCAAGAAACTGACCGTTTCAACTTAGACCCTTATAATGAAACATACGAAAATAGTGATACCTTCGCAGACGATATGAACCAAGATAACAACTGTCCTCAAGCCCCTTTACTGATTGATCCCAATGACGATGATCAACAACCACCCATCGGCCAGAACAACCAGCCCAATCAAAATGATCCTATGACCTTCTTGGACCACCAGATAGGGAATCTTGTACTTCAAATGCAAAACAATCCTGCTCCTCAAATCAATATCTCTGCTATTAATCTTCCGGCCCAAAATCGTGAACTCAACCTAGTTCCTTACCCCAACTTTTCTGGCAGAGAACAAGACCCCATTACTTAGTTAGAAGATGTCGAAAAAGCCTTCGAAGCTAACCAAGTTCAAGATAATCGAAAAATCCTAATTGTCATTCCTTATTTGAAAGGCACGGTGGCTAATTGGTGGGTTACTGCTAGGACTATTCGACCTGCTATTGATCGGTGGAATGATCCGCACCATGGAGGGCAAAGTTTTCATCCTCATTTCATTGCTCAATTTCAAACCCCTTCTCTTAAAAGTAAATGGTTTGCTCAGTTAACCCAAAGAAAGCAAGGCCCTACCAAGGGTGTTAATTTGTATCACATGTCTATCAAAGAACTTTTCCAACGTGTAGAGTCAGGTGGTCATCGTTACCTGACACTGCCAAAGCCCAGATATTTATCAATGGCCTAAGACCTGAATTGTCTACTGCTGTTGCTTCCTTTATGCCTAACACCCTGTCCGCTGCTTATGAACGTGCCAAAGCCTTCGAAAATTCTTTTAAACAGAACCCCTTCTTCTATAACCCATACCTTATGGCCTTTCCTCAAGTCTCCAATATTCGAACTCCCAATCTACCCCCTTGCAGTCTGCGGCTATGATCTCTAGCAACCCTCCAGCAGTAAACTCTTCTAATATGGAGGAAGTTCTTGTCAAGTTCACAAAAACTTTAAATATGGTGATGAAGAAGCTTCAAGAGTCACATGAGCCCCTTAGATGATCCTAGACTAATTGGACAATTCTCCCTGCTTCAATTGTAATCGGTGTGGACAGACAGGCCATTACGCTCATAACTGTACGAATCCTTTGCCTCACAATAATCTGGGTGCGGTAACCACAGAAAGCAATGCTACTCCTCTTGGACAGAACAACAGGCCTCAAAATAATCTTCCGCCAATTAATAATAATGATGCTCCAGTTCGAGCTCATGGAAATGAAGCCCAGACCTTTTTGAACCTCCACTTTGACGAAAATGAGCCTCTGTTTCTCCCTGCTGATGAATCTGAAAAACCTGCTCATTCCACTCGATCTAAAAGAAGACGTGTTGAAGATTCGACCCTCCAAGACCTTCTTGAAGAAGAGAGGACTAGTGATCTAGAAGAGATTCGGGATAGTGACAAGGAACCTAAGAGAAAAGTTGCTGTAGCTGCCAAGCCAAAAAAGGAAATAAATATGGCTCCTGTCAGAAAAAGAAAAGTCGAAGACAACCCACCTCAAATCTTTGCTCTTATCCCTCAATGCTTGATTATATCCAATATCCGTGATAAACCCGCCAATATCACCTTCAGACAACTTTTACAGGTAGTCTTTTCTTTCCATTCAGATCTTGCCAAAAGTCTCTGTAAAACAAAGACCCCCAAGAAAAGAACTCGTACCTTCATAAATCTTCAACCAACTCCCAAATCAACGGCTTTGTATTGTGACGCCATGGTCCAAGATAAAGTCATCCCTCTTATCGTCGATAGTGGGTCCTCCGGAAGTGTTGTTTCCTCCCATCTCTTCAGTGAGCTTGGTATTAAGGTAGAAAGGCCCTCTACAGTTAATCTGGTCAATGTACATAGTTAGAGCAAAAGATCTATAGGTGAAATTTTGGACTTTCTGTACTTGGTCAGAGGCGTTGTAGTCCCAATCAACGTAGTGGTTACAGATGCGCCTTCATATCAGGCTATCGTTGGGAATGACTGGTTATCTAAAATCAATGCCAACATTGACTACAATACCTTTAAGATGACATTCAAATGGAAAGATCAAGAAATCATTGTTCCCATGGAATTAAAGAAGCTTCAGCATACCTCAATCCAAGACAGCCGCCCTCCTAAAATTGCAAAAATCTAACAGAATGACGACAAAGAGTCAGATGACTCTGAGAGTGAGGACGAAACCGAGTCTGAGTATGAAGAGGAGGAATTGAAGGACCGTCTTTTTGGTTTCTCGGAAGATGAATCTATAACCTTCCGATATTATCGTGATAATATGTTCGGGCCTGAGGAGAATGATGATTCTGATGATAGTTTGGTAGCCTCCTGGTATAACATTCACTCTGAAAACTTAGGAGCCAGTGATGCCTGGTGGAATATTGATAGTGATGATAATTATAAATTACCGGGTGCCGATATTTTTTCTGACTTTGATGACGATGAATTGGAGCCCCAACATGAGTTCTTTTTCGACCAGATGGAAGAACCCTCCAGGAGTTGGACATCAGAAGTTTGTGGAATGACGATCACAATAAGTTAGAAGAATTGCTTATGGGATATGATGATCTCTTTGCGTGGACCCCTTAGAGTCTAGGTTGAACTAACCTAGTCACCCATTCTATCCATACTGGTGATGCTCTTCCTATTAAGCAACGATATTATCATACTTCACCTAAGGAGTGGAAATTCCTATCAAAGGAAATTGATTGAATGCTTCAAGATGGAATTATCTAACCTTCCTATAGTCCATAGGCCTCCCCTATCATACTCGTCAAGCAACACAATAAAACCCGATTCGTATTGATTATCACTGCCTTAATGCTGTTACAAAAAAAGACAGTTATCCTCTTCTCCGAATTGACAACTTGTTAAATATCCTTTGACATTCATCCTAGTATATCTCTCTGAATCTGGCCTCTAGATATTGGCAGATTGAAATGGACCCTACCAATAAAGAGAAAACAGCTTTTATCTCTCAATTAGGAACTTTCGAATTTAATATAATGCCTTTTGGTCTTACCAATGCCTCTGCAACGTTTTAACGACTCATAGATAGAATTTTTCAAGGAGCTATTAGCAAATTCGTGGTCATCTATTTGGACGATATCAACATCTTCTCCTATACATTTGACGAACATATCTTACATTTTACCGAGATATTTGATCGACTTTGAGATTCCAGACTTAGACTAAACCCCAAGAAATGCCATTTCACCAAGTCTGAACTTAAATTCCTTAGCTACGTCATCAACGAAGAAGGTATCTCCACTGACCTGAAAAAGGTAAAGGTCATTAAAAATTTTTTCACCCCCACCAGCCTTTGCCAACTATGAGGATTCCTGGGGCTTGCATCATACTATCACCGGTTTATCCGAAACTTCTCTCAAATAGCCACCCCTCTTAATCAATTACTAAAGAAAAACATTCTATATACCTGGTTCTGGGATCACGAGATGGCATTCGATGACCTTAAAGAAAAACTTATTACCGTGCCTGTCCTGGCTTATTCTGATTTCGCAAGAGAATTTCTTCTATTTACAGATGCCTCTAAGATTGCGTTGGGAGCTATACTTGTGCAGAAGGACCTCCAAGGGAGAGAATGGGTAATTTATTATGTCAGTAGGACTATAACGCAGCCAAAAAGAATTATTCTGTGACTGAGCAAGAATGTTTAGCTGTTGTTTGGTTGGTCTCTTACTTTCGACAATATCTCCACAGATCCTGCTTCACTATCATCACAGACTATTCAGCCCTTAAGTCTCTATTACAACATCGACTGCCGAAAGGTCGCCTTGCTCGTTAGATTTTGGCCTTGCAGGAATAAGAGTTTTCGGTTATATACCGTCCTGGTCGATATCACTCGAATGCTGATAGCCTCTCATGCCTTACCAAATCGGTCACTCCTAAATCGAAAAATCCTAAGAAGCGCATATGTTATAATTGCTGTCAATACGATCATTTTGCCAGAGAATGTCTTTTCAAATATAAGTTGAAAACTAGCCGAAGCTCACCCACTACTTCTAATTTACTTCCTCAATTTTGACTAGCTGAATTTTTACGTTTTATCTATACACAATTCAAATCATACCTTCTAAATTTACTAAATATTTTTACAAACAACTATTTTACAATGAATCCTGAACTCTATCAAACTTATATCCAGTATCTTAGTGATCCCTATAATAAGTCAAAATTGAACCTCCAACAACAAAACCGTTTAAAACAACAAACTAGATTTTTTGTAGTCATCCACAATAAGTTATACAAAAAGCGTCGCCAGTCACCTTATCATCTGTCGAGGGTATTGTTACCTGATGAAATTCAATCCATCCTGTTCAGTATGCACTCTGACCTGCTTTCAGAGCATTTCAATAGTCTTTCCACTCTCCAATGAATTTCGCAGAGATATTTCTGGCCACAAATGGGAGAAGACATTAAGAAATATGTTGCCAGTTGCGACGTATGCCAGCAAAAAAATAAGCTCCGAACCCGAGAACCTTTGTATTTCATTAAAGTTGGCTTACCTTTCGATAGGGTCAGCATCGACTTAGTAGGCCCTTTACCACCCACAGTGAAAGGAAATAAATATATCGTTGTGGCTACTGAGTATCTCACAAAATGGTCTGAAGCTCGAGCCATTCCTGATGCTACAGCTTCTTCTGTTGCTTCTTTCATCATAGATGATATAATCTGCCGACATAGATGTCACCGAATTTTGCTGTCAGATCAAGGCAAATATTTTTCGAACATATTAGTCACAGCTATTTGTGATCACTACAGGTACACCATAAGTATTCAACTACTTACCATCCACAGACCAACGGCCTCGTAAAATGTTTCAATCGGACTCTTTGCGAAGTATTGTCTAAATGTACCCTACAATTCCAAGGTGACTGGGACCATTACATTTCACCAGCTCTATTCACCTATCGTACCACTCGGCATTCTGTTACCCGCTACAAGCCTTTCTTCTTAATGTATGGCCAAGACGCCATCCTTCCCACTGAAGTTCGATCTTTAGATTCGGATGCTTCCTTTTCTTCTGAAGAGAGATTGCAAAAACATCTACTGTGATGAATAGAAGTGCTTTTAGGAGATATACCAAAGGTTCATCTCCAAGCCCAAGCTCGTATTAAAAGGTCTCAGCAGTTACAAAAGCTTCGACACAATTCTCGTTTTAGTCTCTGAAGTTACTCTATAGAGGATCAAGTTCTTTGTTATTGATCTGAACTTGAAGGCATACATAAAGACAAGTTGGGTGAGAAATGGGAAGGACCTTTTTATGTTTACGACATCCTGGGAAATGGCGTTTATAAACTGAGAACTATGGCTGATAAAGTCTTAAAACAAAAAGTGTACGGCAATCGACTTAAATTATATCAGCCACCCCCCAGAGGTGATTCAGAACCTGATTGATCTTCGCAGGAGCTCGATAAATAAGGAGGGGAGTCTGTTACTACTACGAATTAAAATTTTCTGTGCCATGACCTTATGAAGAACCTGCGCGCTTATTATTTCTTATTGTTGTGCTTATTCTTAGCTTATCCTTATTACTTATTAATCTTATTGTATATAGTTATTATAGTTATTATTATTACTTTTCTTATCATCTCTGTATTTGTATTATTATTATTTATATTTAGTTAGTCCACTTGATGATTATTGTTGTAAGATCGTTGTACCCCGGGAAATATTTAAGTATAGATCCACGCTATTCCTTTTTTAGTCGCTAATAGATTAATTACCGGTATTTCCTTATTGAGAAGACTATCAATTACTATAATGGTTAATCCAGACATTGGATGTGTTGCAAGATGGGTTAGACGAAGTATTGGAACAATCCTTGATCTCAACATGACGCGTATTTGTTGTGGGCGTCAAGATCTTAATTTTATTGTTTCTTCAATGAACTCATTGAAGTAAGGTGTAGTCATTATTTACATTAGGCGTTTAGTATCATTGAGAGGTAGGGAATCGGCGTTGAAAAGGATAAATCCACGGAGGAAGAAAATGCCGACAGTAACCTAGAGTAAATAGTCTGTACAATTTTAACATGTATTTAAAGAACCGTTAGTTCCATGAATAAAGTTTTCTCAGACTTCAATCTCACTGATATTGTTAATAAACGGTTTTATATTGAATCTACCTTTCTGTTATTGTTGAATCATCGTGAATACATCTTCACGATCTTGTTATCATCCCGATATCCCTATCGTTAAGACAGCTTAACGATCTTATTTATTTAATTATCTATTCCTTTATTATATCATATAATTATTACAATTACAATTGCTCACCTATCGTTGTACCTTTCATGTCCTATCTTATAATTATACCATATCCAATATCCCTTTAGTTCACTATCACTGTACTAAACTCGGCCCTTGCTGACGCTCTCCCAACTTTCGATAGTAACACCAGATATAAAATGGAAAAGTTATTTGCACTATAGGGTGGCGTCTATAATAATAGAGTTCCAATCCGTTATCCATTTATCCATATCTGGATAAATTCTGATTGGATACTTGGACAATGGATTACGGATATATGGATAAACGGCTAATGGATTAGAACTCTGTATAATAATATAAATCTACTATTTGATTATTAGAGCTCCAATCCATTATCCGTTTATCCAGATAATTATCAGATATTCGTTATCCGTTATCCAAAGTATCGATCTGAATTTATCCGGATATCTATTTACTATCACAGCTGTTTTCATAAATTCTGGAACGTCTGGCAAAAAATTGACCGACCGAATATTTAGGCGAGACCAACTTGATTCTGTGTTTTACATTACACCCAGCATCCTCCCTCTCCATCATAGTAAAAAAATTTAGATAATATATATAGGACTTTGGGCTATTTCGGAAAAACATTATATAATCACAGAACAATTCGGAATTTTTTTTAAAATTTTACTATGTAAACCACAAATCCCCCGGAGGGGAAGGGGTAATGTAAAACACAGAATCAAGTTGGTCTCGCCTTAGCGATTCGATAAGTTCTGATTCGACAGCGATCATTAACAGGGATGGGCACGTCACAATGTCCAATTTTTTTGGACATATGTCCAAAAAAAATTGAAACCAATTGGACATTGTGACATGCCATCCCTGATCATTACCGAAATCGCAAACTTATCGAATCGGCAAATATTCGGTCGGTCAATTTTTTGCCAGTCGTTGCAAATTCGAAATGATTCCTATACAATTACACGTGATGTCAACCAATCATATCTCAAGTTTTAGCAAATCGGCCAATCAGATTACAAAAAAAAAGGTTGTAGGATTCACGGGGATTCAAGGAATATGGTATAGAACGAAGCAAAAACATCAATTCATCCGTTAAATTTACTCTCGTTTCGCAGAAAATTAAGATACCCAAGCTTTTAAAAGAAGTATTGTAAAACGTATAAAAAAATTATTTATCAATCGTGTAACCATATCGGAATCATCTACGAATCTGAACGGTCGCTTCTGTTGATTATCAATAATATATAAAATGCCTATTACTACATAATACTACAGTGGTCGAAAAAAGATCCGGAAAAATCATATACCCGAGCCCGAACCCGATAAAAATTTTATAACGGGTCGGGTTAATCCAAAACCCGACCCGATCTGACCATTTTTAGATATGTATAATTAACCAATGATAATTCACGTTGTCTTAGAATATTATATGTACAGTTACTTTAATTTCATGCTTGCTTACCCCAAACTCATTTACATTCAATAGACTCTCGCACACTTTAAAAAACTGATCCGCTTCAATACCATTTTTTAAATCCGGATCAAATCACTAAACTTGTTCCGTCTCATAAATCCAATTTGTTCTCATATCTTATTCGCGAACTTCCAAAAAGTTTTGAATAGAATATCTTGGTAATTTATTATGTATTAATGGTTTAATACAGAAAATCATCATTAAATGCTCATTTAGAGAAAGTACATTTAGAGAGGGTTACTTTGGGTGGTTTCTCTATATTTATGAAATTGAATGATTTAACAATATACTAAATCCAGAAACGTTTATTGTCTTTAATAAAATCAAAGTATTATACTAGTGTTCAAAGAACTAGTGAAATGAGTTTGCTAATGCTTTTTCTTTTGATCCAAATTTAGGCCTCACAATAACAACTACCAATACTACACAAATACTATACTAAGATTATCTAACTAGTTAAGGACACAATTTGGTCTACCTATTTTTTTATCTGATTCTTTTTTAAAACCATTAATTTCGGTGCCGTTGTTACAACCAGGGGAGAGACTTTATATTGACACAGCCAATTTAGCTTAGGGTCGTAAGCATTAAAAATAATAAACCAAGTATTTATTATCACACACAAGGCACCAAAATGTACTAATCACACAAACGATACAAATAAGTATTTTTCTAACAAGTGTACCCAGTACACAAATATCCCTTAAAATATCCCTTCTTTGAAAAACTAAAACTAAACAAGAGAAACTCTAGAACTATGATCTAAGCTACTACCCCTATTTATATACTTATTATTAGACTCAAATTAGCTATTTACTATTACGTAGATATTGTATAATAATATAAAAGTCCAATCAAAGTAACCTATACTATACTTACTCAAAAAGCTTATTTGCAAATGTCACGCTATTTTTCGTAACACCGTGCCGATTCTTTAATATTTAATCAAATCTTCTTTTTTCGAGTGATTAATTTAAATATGATAGCTTAGAGCAACTCACAGCGTGAGAAGTGGTAACATTATATTATTTTAAATTACATAGTTTGTGTTTGAGAATTAGAATTTCTACTTGATTTGGAAAACCGAATATATGTTTATGGTGTTAAACTCAAGAACCCGCCAAATTTATTAACTCAATGCGATTATTTTTAGCAGTTTTGTTAGTTTGACCTTCGGCAATAACTTCTGGTTACTTTTTTCCATTTACTGATTGCTTGCCTAATAATATACGTAGCAACTTCGCTTTGAAATAAAGTACTTAGTTTGTGGGATTATTTTGGGATTATTCTGTATGGTGAAAGATAACGCTCTTCTAAACTTAATAATAAAGTAAAAAATTATTTTTTTCTAAGTAAAATGGTGAAGTTGCAATTTGAAAAAGTACTTTAAACTGTGTAAATTAATTACTGGGCAATTGATTTAAAAAGTAAAATCTTGAAACTATTTACACAAAATTAATATGGGTTTATCGGGATTTGGCGGGTCAATAAATGGGTCCGAACCTGACCTGCAAAAATTCGGGTTAAACCTGACCCGTCCCGTACCCTAATCTAGGGATGTCATTTCTAATTAAATTAGAAAAAATTCAGACGATCGAAAATTCGTTAGTAATATGATTGAGGTACAGTATTAGAAATAAAAAAAAGGCATAATAGTAAAAT